CATCTCTGGGTTTTTCCTGGCAGCACGAAGCAGTCTGAAGGCCAGCTACCTGATCCCCTGGTGGCAGGGACCACTCTGCCTCACTGACTGTGTCTGCCAGAAAACCCCTTGGATCAATAATCAACCATATTTAAGAAAAATCAGCAATTAGGTACAAAACTGAGCAACCAGCTACTTCCCTGCTGTCTCCAAGTTTAAAGGACAGTAAACTCATTTTATCTCAGCTACTCCCTGCCCCAAGTTCAGCTCAACAGGACTAGACTCTGACCCCCTGCCTCTCTTCAGCCTGCTTCTCCCTGGAGAGATGACTTTTGTTGGCTTCAGTGGTAGCCATGTGTACTTGTATGTTTGAGTGTAATTGAGCCCTTTGAAAGTTACCTGTCACTCCCAATGATATTCAAGCTGACTTCAGGTACTGAAAGGCTACTACTGATATGTGAAGTAGTTAAGGTTACTCTTCCTGGTGGAGATGATAGTTGAGCATCTGAGACATAATGGTGAAGTTTATCATGAAATCCACGGATGGATTTTTAGTCTTCGTTGACTTTCAGGGTGCTGCATAGTCAGTATTTTTCAATATTGTTTTCTGCACCAGAGTATCAAGATGGTCCCAACTTTTTGTAAGGAAGGTCAGGTTCCATTTTTAGGACTATGCAAAGTGGAAAATGCTCAGCTATTCGATTTGACATACAACAGCTCTTCCCACAACAAAGATAGCAAACCAGATGGAATTAATGGTTGGGCCACCCTGCAAAGTAGACAGAACTCAAAATAATTTTAGCAGTAGGATATTTTGGTGTAAACTATTCAACACTTTCCAGTTAAACAGCAAGATGTTTCTTGAAAATTATGCATTCTTTGAAGTGGGCCTTATTACAGGCATGCCACTGCTTTCTGAAGGTAGCTGCGGGTAGCAGTAACTTGCTTTCTGTTTCTTTCATGTAACTTTACCTTAGAGTGAATCATTCAGTAGTTAATGTTTGATTTCCTCTATATGTGATAGAAGACAAGATAACCTCAAACACAATTTGACTGTTTTCAATTAATTAAAAGCTTCATTTGGCCACAGAGCTTTCTGTGAGTGGGACTTTCCTGCTCAGTAGAAAAAAACTTCTGAAATCATTCATTTTCAGTGTTAAAAACATTGTCCCCCTCATTAGAGAAGGGGAATGAAATCACTGCGTCTTCTGTCCAGATGACTCACATAACTAGAGCTAGTTTCGATTCCATTTTTTCCATACTCCTCTCTGGAGAACCCTAACAATAAGGTCACATCTGTACCAGACCTGGATTAATATGAAGTCATGTACTTCAGCTTTCTCTTTTTCTCCAGTGATTTCTTCCCAGCCAGCAAAGACAGTCTGTCTTCCATAATAGAATCTAAATCCTAATTTCCTGTCACTTCTATGCTTCTGTATTGTTTTCTATTTGATAGTAAATTAATCCTGGTTAGATAATGTTTGTTTATCCTCTATTCTATGTAATGTTTCTTGGTTTAGGCCATTAGTAATGATTCTGTTTCACTCCTGCAGCAATGCTGTGCACACTCTGGCAGAGGTGTGAACTTAACATATACCTCATCCACATTTCTCACTCACACCATTAACTTCTGTTTCTTTAATGAGGTGTTCATGCCTGGAGAGGCAAACATTCCATGTTCAGGACAGTGACTGGAAAGCAGCTGGAGTACCATCAGCTATGACAAAGCTTGAAACTTCAGGGAGATTTGTCATTTTCCCATAACGCCTTCCAGTTCTTCAGATAAATATATGGGGCTAAGCAAACCCTGGTAAACGAGATGGAACAGTACTTGTTACATACACATTCTTCTTCAGTAATAGGAGGTTGTGCTGTTTCCTCTACCTGCATTATTTCCTGTTCGTCAGGCAGGGACAGTGCTGACAATAGAGCCAGGCCCAGAGACTGCAATGATGCAGTTGTATTTCCATGCATGCATCAGATTGGCACTGCACCCTGAAGTTCAGTTGCTGAAGCCTAATCCATCAGGATCATTTGTGCCCTTTGTGTTGCCTTAAATTTATCAGCACTTTGACAGTGCTGACACATTCTGATACATTTTTAATAACAGAGTCTTCAAAAGCATCTTAAGGGTCTCTCTCAGTGGGTGGGTATGCATCTTCCCTCTCATCAGTAATTTGAAAAGGGTCAGTCTCTGTCTGTCCTCATATCTCTAACTATTTTTTATACTTTCTCAACCTTCTAAATAAAATACAATGTTTTGCCCTTTTGGCAGTCACTTGCACTCTATTGCGCTCATTTTCCCTTATAGTGGTAGGAAAAACTGGTTTCTGTGATTCTGCTAGTTCTCATGCTATTGATTGCAGACCTTCAGCATCTCTTGTCAGTCCTAATCTCTCGGGACATTTCTTGCCCAAGTGCCTTGTTACATATTACATGTTTCCTACATTCTTAAAAAAATGAGTTAGCCAGTGTGCTACGTGGTTGCACTGCACAACTCATGCCTACACTGGCCTATTACTTGTCCAGTGATGCTTTTGACCTGTATCCTGTAGGTGTTGACACAACACACTGACGTGTATTGAAAGTAGAACCAAGTGCCACTAAAGGTATTCCAATAGCACAAATACAGAACCATTTTTGTCACCAGAAGTTTTCTTCTCTCAGGCTGTCCTTGGAGCAGTCTCCTCCCTACTGCCAGTGATTTCCACAAATTAATTGGTTTCTTTTAGTGCATAAAGAAAGCTGACAGAACAGGGACCCAGACACTCTAGTCCCCTCAGCTGTCTTAGTCTCAACACCTGCCAATCATTTGAAAAGTTCTTAGATTTGTTCATTGTTCAATCACATCTGAACTTTGGAAGAAACATTAACCTATTGGGCAGAAACTGGAATTACCAATTTCCTCTTCCCTCAAAACTAAGATCAAAGATGAGCAAGACTCCTTCAGCAAGGTTCATAGAAAACGTGGCTTTCTAATATTAGAATTCCTATGATTACATAGAAATTAGTTCTCTAATTTGGGTGTGTCATTGCCTTATCACTTACACAGTACTGATTTCCTCTTCTGTTTGAAGCTAGCTGCAGTGTTTTCCCAAATCTTCGCTCAGTTTTCAAGCCCCTTTACTGGCTGAAATTGCATTTATTTAAACTTTTCACATTCTTCTGTTTCAAGTAAAAGTTTCTTGCAAGCCCAGACCCTTGTACATAGAACAGTGACTTGTACACAGTGATCTGTAAATTACAGGTAGTATCTGCAGGATCATCAGAAGGGGTCCTTACAGCCATTATCGCTTAAGTATCACTTTCTCCTAAGTTCAATAAAAACAGTGCACATTGATCCATTTTCATCTATTTTGAATTTGAAAATCTGACAGCAATGCACAACTCTCAGAAATTCTAAGAACTATTGCTCTAGGCTGCTTTCAGTCATAACCATAGAAATTAGTAGGTGGATTTTGCTTTCATTTACTAATGAAGATCCTGTTGAGTGTAATACTATAACCATGAACCCAGTGAAATATCATTTGTGTTGGAAGGAATAAAGCATCACACCACTAAGTAAATCAAATGTTCTTTGTTACATCCAGAGTCTTAATTAGAGCCTCCTTGCATTCTTTAAGCAATACTTCAATAATCTCTCCTTCTCTTTGTAGTTCTCTGTAAGCTCATCAAAAGCCAAATCCATAGGTAAACTTGCTAATATGGAAGGGAGCAATACAATCTCTTATGTGTTTCAGAAACAGGTGGTAGGGTTAGGTGGTTTCTAACAGATGTTGTAGTACCAGAGTAACAGTGCCAGGGCCAAAAGATTAGTGTCAGAAATTCTCTCATGTCTCAGAACTGTGCAATTCAGAATCTAAGATTTAGCTGTAAGGAGATGAGAGTGAGCAAATTGCTTTCCAGTTTGTGCACTTTAAGAAAAATATTACGAACAAGACCAGAACGTCAAGATAACAGAGAGGACTATGATGAGATGTGAAAGAGAACCATTTTCCTCTACAGAGTGTTTACTCTGAAACCTAATTAAAATGTCAGTTCCGTTTCCATAGATCATTTCAACACCAGTGTCAGTCTGGTGCTTTTGTCTTGGAAGCAGTGACCATTACAGGTGTGGGCAGCAATGGGGCTCTCAGTCATTAATAATTTTTGTGACAAGGAGATAAGAATATTATTAAAATAATCACCACTCATGCAGTTCCGTAAGACGGAAGGAAAGCAGGAGGAGGTACCCTTCTTCTTTTGACTTAGCACTTAGGGGCATGCTGGCTGCTAAAACTAGTGCAACTTTCACTTCTTGGAGTATGAGACTTGCTTGAACAATATACTTGACAGTTTCAGGCATTTAAAATTACCTCAGGCTTGTGAAGCGCTGTTTGTGTACTTCTGGGGACTGTGACACCTGAGCTACCAACTAATCACTGTAACACACCGAGCAGGGCAAACAGCAGCAAAGACAGCAGGCATAGGATGGGGAATCTTACATGGTCCACCACACTCCAGTAAGGCATTGTTTAGCCATAGACTGATCTTTAAAATCCCAAGTTAAAAAGTTCAGTTACATAACTGGGCATAACAGAGCTAAACTTTGAGGCTAGGTATAAAAAAGATGAAGCCTGAGAAATGACTGGTCTGTTAAATAGAAGTGCTTGCATTTGAGTTGTGTATGAAGTAATCTCTGTGTGTAGTTTATATGCATCAATTTAAGTTTGGATGGCAATTAGGGTTATTTCAGGATGTAAGGTATGATATACATGAAAGCTGCTTTTGTGGTTATATTATTAAATTTCTATCACGTAATGTAAAACATCCACTGCTTTATTTACAGTGCTTCACTTCAACCATATTTTACTATCATGAGACATTCCTTGACCAAAAATGTTGTTTCTAATCACAGAGTAAATTAATAGATTGAGTGACTACAGTCTAAATCTTTTTTTAAACTAATCTAGTCAAATATGTGCTACCATAACTAGGCCATAGCAGTGTATGCTGCCATGCAAGAGACTAGGGTTTAATTCTTGGATTCTGCTTCTCACTCCATGAGCAGGAGCTAGGAGCACTCCAGAGCTGCAGCCTCAACCCTGGGAGGGATGGAGCCTTGTGTCATTCAACAGCAGTGACCCCCACTGGCCAATTTAAGGAGAAGCATTGAGGGGCTCTAAAAGGAGTCACTTCCAGTCCTCCTCAGAGGTTGGTGGTCATTGCACGGGATCTAGTGAGTGGAGGTTCAATGGGGTGCACTCGGTGGGGTCTTCAGCTTTCAGTCTGAGGAGCAGAATCCTCTCTGGGGAGGAACCAGCATGTGCGCTTCCTGAGACACTATTTTTGCCTGACATAGCTATACGTGGCAAGATTGTCAAGAACATATATATATACTATTTTTTCAAATGTCCTGTAACTAATGCTGTGATATCTATCTTTTAAATAGAACAAGGAAAAACTCCACTAACCTCAATAGAATTATAGTTTAATTCCCAGAGAAATAGAGAGGTACTCAATAGCATGGAGAGAAGTACAAGTGCAAACTGTTCTCTCAGCGGGTGTCATTATACTGAAGGAATTTGATTTGCAAAGAATCTGACAAATTAGAGATGGACATACTTACAAGGTCATTGAGCATCTCCCCACTGATGCAAAATGTTTCCTACCATAGATTGAGGTTTTTCCCAGCCCAGCGTTAGGTGACCTGAGCAGCAAAGCTAGCACTGTTCCAGTGGGGTCATTAATCCTCAGTCTGCAGATCTCAGTAACAGGAATATTGTCATAGCAGTGGGGATTACATTTCTGTTTACTTAATGTCATCTTAGTACCCTAGTTCATAGCTCATCAGATTGGCCTAAAGTGATCCTCTTCCTTTCAGCACTTGCAGCTGTTAAGCATGTTTACCCTCCCAATCATTTGGTGGATGTAAAACAGATTTAATTCTTTCACATGGCCTCCCCAGTCAGCTGTTCTAGCCCCACAGTTATTTTTGATGTGCTTCTCTAAGTCTCATTCAAGTTGCCGACCTTTGGCTAGTATGGCAACAGGGAGAACTTGAGGTCCATACTCAAGAGCATTGAAATAAAAGGAACTGTTGCCACCTCGGTCTGTGATTCTGTATTTCAGCTACTGTGGTCCTTTTTGCCTGCCATATCACACTGCACACTCAAACCCAACTTGCTGTCCTCTGCCAGGTCTCTCTTGTCATTAATGCTCTCACCATACAATGGGGTCAGGTCTGGTTCAGCAGTGCACAATATACACTGTCTGTTGTTTAAAGGGATGTAATAAATTAGAATAAACTTTTGGTTATAAACACCTTTGTCTTTTAAACTTGTTGCAAAGCTATCTGTGAGTTTTATTTAACCTAATATTTTATAGCTATATGGAGTAACAAAATATAGACAATGTAAAGAAGAAATGCAACAGTTTCCATCTACTCACAAATTTTTCACATAGCACGGGCTGAAAATGTGATATAAACATTCTTCTGTAGCATGTCAGCCTTTGCTGAGGGATATGAGAAACTGTAAATACTTACAGGCAATAATTTGTATTGTTTCATGGAGAAGGAGGTACAGAGCTGTTTAAAAAGAAACCTTATTAAATGCAAACATTTGTTTTCTGTTTGCATTTTACAAATGCTTTTACATTCCTAAGGAGGAACAGATCCTTTAAAATATGAATCTGTCATTCACTAGGATTCTTGGAAGGGCTTGTTAGATCAGCAGGTACAAAGCTAGACATCTGGAATTACTGCACTTTCACCAAACGCTAGCTGATGCCCTGCCACCTGAGCTGTGTGAAAAGATGCATCCCACATATTTCTGTAGCAGTTAGCACAGCAGCCTGATTCTCTGTTGAACAGAGAGAACAAGAGAGCTCTCTGGCTTTGCACCTTTGCTTTCCAATCTCAAGTTTGCACCTTTCTATCCCATGCTGCTTAGGTTTTTTGCAGCAAATCTGTGATGCACTGGAGTACAGTAGGCGGTTTACTTGTTTTCATGGAAGGACAATTTGTACTTAAAGCAGTGATTAGATGAATTCTTTCTTTCTTGCATGCTTCAGTTTTTGATGACTACTAGCTTCATCAGTGTAATTATAATTAGCACTCTTCATCTTCCCTTTACGGTACCAGCTGGACAGATTGGTCCTCTTACTGCACAGATTGGCGGCAGGGTTGCCTACATGGAGTTAGGTGACAGGCACCATGAAATAACAGATGGTAAATTCAGGGCTTGTTGGCAATCAGCAGGTTTTTGCTAATGACTTAATTAGCTATGCAAATTGTCAAATCAGTGTGAACATTGTTTTTATCGAAAACTTTACCTAAATTAATTACCATAATTAAGTAGCAGAATGTCAAGTATATTGGATGCGTAAAAGGGCTTGGCTGGCTATGGATAAGAGTTACCATCTTTATTAGAATGCTGTGCTCCACATGGGAGAAGTCTGAGGATAAGAAATGCGGTTTCTTTTAAACTACTTCTAAAATACGCATCTCGCCAAGTTCCAGCCGAGATGCACCCTGGTGCCTTTCCAAATAAAATGGCTCAGGAAAGAATTACTGGATGAAGGGTAAATATTTCAAGCAGGAGTTTAAGGCAGTTCCGTGGCCTGCTTGTTTGCTTAAAATCATCCACATGTTTCAGTCTACCTGCTTTTCAGTTCTGGGGTTTCTGAGATCCAGAGCCATGAGCATGCAGCTAGAGAGATGTGTTATAGCTTTTCATTTAAATTAGCAATGAAGTGTAAGCCTGTCTCCTGGTTCCTACTATGCAGGAACTTTTAACTCTGTTGTTCAAATGTCACAAAGTTAAGAGATGCAAATTCTCTAACATAATTTTTTTAAGTTGATTTTTTCTCTCTCAAGGTTTCCATATAACAAATATTGGGTGCTGTTCACAGGATGTGATGGTGGTAGGAGAACCAACTCTGATGGGCGGCGAATTTGGGGATGAAGACGAAAGGCTTATCACTAGATTAGAGAATACACAGTATGATGCAGCAAATGGCATGGATGATGAAGAAGATTTCAACAATTCACCTGCACTGGGAAATAACAGCCCGTGGAACAGCAAACCTCCTGCTAACCAGGAGACTAAACCTGAAAACCCCACACCACAAGCTTCCCAATAGGTTATTCTGCAGCAGTACCCACTGCAGTGTGTGTCAGTGGGTTATTAATTACTGTTGCACAGCATTCTTCAAAGTAAAAATTTAAAAAACCACCTTTCAATGGATATCATTTCAGAGTATCTATTTCTAAACTAAAGCTATCCAACTTTTTTAATTAGGGAAAACTCTTGAATAAGCTTCCATATACATTTCTTGGAAGCATTCACATGCAATGTGATACTGGCACTGACCTCAGTTAAAATAACTGAAAACTAAATAGCATCTCATGGCAAATTTCTGACAATGCATTTTATTGGAAGGGGTTGTTTTTTTTCCTCATCAAACAATGGCCATATTTAAACAAGTCATCAGTGCTCAGGATCTCATTAAGGTAACTATGTAAAACTTTTTACAATTGTAATATATTTTCTGCTTTTCAACTTGCACCTGAAATTTCTTGTTTCAGAAAAAAGATCAGTTTTTAAGGAAAAGTAATTTCAAGTAACTTTTGTTCTTTCCTTAACTTTTCTTTCATCAGTTGAACATTTCAAGGATCCAGCATTTTTCATTTACGTTTAGCTGATGCCAGTAGATACTCTTTCCATCATTTAATAAAAAAAAACCTGAAACAAGAAATGTCTTTTTTTCATCAAAGACATGAGAAATATTTTTATGTGGAAAAAGACACTCGGTCCTATGAGAGTTTATGCTTTGTAAAATTGCTGTCGATCCAGATATTTTAAAGCCATGTAATCCATTAACTTTGTGGGCAGCTTAATAAATCTAAAACTTTTGTGTTTTTATTATTGTACCTGAGTTGGCTTTGTTGTTATTTCTTTTCATAGTATATTTCTTGTATAATATTTTTGTAAAGCCCTCAAACCTTTTTTTGGTTTACCTTTATTTTTTTTTTTTTTTTTTTTGATTCTGGTGTATTTATGTGAAACTTTATAAGAGAAACTAATTTTTTCATTTACATATTAATATGTTCAACTCATCATGTAAAGACACAGTGAGTCAGTGTGTTATATAATACAACTGTATTTTATGTATGCTTTGCCAATAAGTGTGCCAATAAACTGTGTTAACAAATATGCTCTTATATGGTGCATTTACAGTTCCTTGCATGCAAAAGACACACGCCCATGTGCAGGATGATGCACCAGGAATTTTTGGAATTGGTGTTTCATTGAATTATAATGTTCTTCCGGCAAAAAAGGAAGTCTGCAGTTCAGGTGTGAATCACTTACGGCTCAACTTGGTTAGAGGCTCTTTTTTTGACATTAGTGATGTGTAACACCATGGGTCGGTAGCAGCAATGAGACCCGAGCATAAGGGAATGAGAACATCCAGCAAGCACCCCTCCACCCTGAACTCTGCATCCCTCACCTTCCAGGGCTTGGGCTTATAAGAGCAGGGATTTCCACTCTGATGAATTCTGTCTGATAGTTTTACGATGAGTCCCTCAACTGGGGCTGAGAGGATTTTAAAAATTCTCCTTCTTTCTTCCCTTTGCTGTCAAATCACTTGTTCACAGGAGCAAGCAAAACCCCTGGGCTGGTGCAGCCACTCTGAATACAGCCCAGTGTGTAAAGCCCCTCGGCTGAGCCCGGAGGCACCCACCTGCATCCCGAGGCAACTGAGAAGCCCTGCAAGGTGACAAATACTTACAGGGAGAAGTACCAACACAGAGATACTGAATCTGCACAATCCTGCCTTTTGTGCAGCGGAGTGAGGTTTTGGTCTTGACTGAAACTGTACTTTTCTGAATGTGATTCCAGCAAATAGTTTTGAAACTACCCTTGGAGAAGACATACAGGGCAAAGCACCCTGTGTGGCCAGTTGGTTCCTCAGCAGGAGCCAGCTCCCTCCCTGCCCGAAGGACAAACCTCAGCTGCCAACATGGGCCCCGTTCTCCTGCAGGCAAAATGCTGCTTTGATGAATTTTGGTGCCTATGGTAGGCCTCCCAGGAAGACAGCCTAAAAGACACTACAGGATTCTGTAGGAGGTGGAGCACAAGGATATCAACTGTAGGGTGGAATTTAAAACTAACTAACTGAATAACAAACGTGAGTGATTGCATCAGCACTGATAGCAGTGCTGCTCCTTCCCAGCATTTGCAGGAGGTAGGAAACTGTAGGTCTACCATTCAGTGACTATATCAGCCCCAATTTTTCCATGTAAATAATTAAATTCACAATGTATTCCATTGAGGCTCCTATATAGCTGCTATAATATTGCAATTATACACTGTAATTCTAATGTTCAAAAACACTAATTGTTCATATTACATTTCCATGAGCACACTCTAAATGATGTTCCTTATTATTAATCTTTCGAGACTGGCACTACTATTTCAATTTTTAAAAGATTTATGATGTCATATTACTCCCACTGTTTCAGTAAATAAACATAGGAACACTTGAAAAATGGGTAACAGACTCCTTAGAGTGCCGTCCTTGAATTAATCTGGAAGGACGCTTTCTCCGTATCTCCTCAAAAACCCTGTCTACAAGCTATCAATCCACCCTGTCGTGGTTGGGGTGAACAACAGACAGAGAGAGCGGATTTTATTTATTCACTTATTTATTCTTTAAAGAAATGTGCAAATGGGCTGTCTCAGTCAAGCGACTTGAGGTGGGCAGCAGCTGACCACGCAGCCTCAGCATTGCTGCTTCCTTCGGTCCCATGCCCTGGGCTGCTACCTGAACTTTTCTTGCCATGTTTGAAACGACACAGTAAACTCATCAAGATGGAGCCTGTGATCCTGTGTCTGATCCCACATGTTTGTGCCCTGTCCTTGGGAACACTCCGTATAGGTAGAGAATTGAGGTACAGTGATCACATTAACTACTGGACTTTATGCCTTTTGGTTGTGGGTTGCAGTTGAATAGCACTGCAGCTCCGTAACTATCTGATGCAGAAAGTGGAAAAGGTGAATGAAGATCACAGGTAAGTTGAAGTAACAGGTTCATGAGAGCTGAGGTTGCAGCCTGAACAATGAAAGCTTGAAACCAACAATTAATTTTACTGTAATCTAATCTCACCACCTACAAGAACATTGTATCTCTCTCAGAAATTGGAAGGAAATAATGTTGTTGACACTTTCCTCTGGGGAGCCCTGCAATTATTAAAAGGAGGAAGGAAACTTATCTCATGATGCTGAAATATGTTCAAAGAGAAAACTCTTGTTTGTTTTAGCAAAATGGGGGGAAATGCTGGCCCTGAGAAATGCCCTTGCAAATCAGAGAGAGGAAATTCCAGCAGTTTACTTAGAAAAGCAGAATCACATCATTAATAAAGTGACTGAGTAAGAACACTGATAACTAAGCTGGTTGCTGTTTCAAAAGACTGGGACCATGCAAGAGCCATAAGCACCAGTGGGTTTTGTTATTCTTTGAATTGCTTTGTTCAGGAATCTTAATATTGTTTTTGGTCTTGGGTCAGCAGAGTCCCCTTCCCAGAGAGCTCCCACCTCACCTGAGCCACCTGCTGGTCTTACCAACTGCACCTGATGAGAACACTGCAGTTCTCAAAGCTCCTTCTTTCTCTCTTTTCACAACGAGAAGAGATAAGCAATATTTGCAGCTTTGTAGTCTTCTCAGAAAGAAGCTGTCCTCTGGTTTCACCATCTATGCATTGGTGTGTATGAATGTAATAAAGCTGTAGGATAATTCAATCTGGAAGGGACCCTGGGAGGCGTAACTAGTATTTGTATGCTTGCAGCATCGTAGGGCTCTGTGAAGTCACGAGCGGCTGATTTGTAACCTTGGTCCTGGAGAAGGTACTACACACACACATTATAGAAGTGTAACCAACTTGTGTCCTTGGGGAACAGAGCAAAAGTACCCACTGAGCAGGGAGCTGCCAAGGAAAATAAGTCTGGAAGCGTGCAGAGAGAGGTGGGGCTAGAGGGGAAGGAAACCGCTGAATGGAATGGCAAAACACTGGGCATTACTGGGTTTTCTCTAAGAAAGAAGTTCCTTGCCCAGCCTCTGCTGCAAAACACCATTAAAGGAGCCTAAATGATAGAACAGCCATAAGAACAGGCTAAATTTTCCAATTTCATGGCCTCCATGAAAATCCCATTTTAGCAAAGACAGGATGAAAGAGAAAACATGGATGATTGATATTGAAGGAAACCCAATTTGTGCCTAATATATCCTGGAGAAACTGCTAATGGAAATTGAATAGTCCTGAAAAAATTTCCTGAGACTGCAACTCTGATCAAGTAGACCTATGGTGATATATTGCATGTCCAAATTAAAGCTGCCCTGGGGCACAAGTAACCCCAGCAGCTGGTTTTACTGTGTAGGACTGGATGATTTGTATGTTTTTTCTTGCTTTTTGACAGCATATTTTTATCCAAGGCTAAGGCCCAAATCTTCTACTATGTAAGAGGAGCTACTGAATATTTAACATTCCATAGTACTGATGTTACACTGGTCTATCATTATACTTCTACCAGGAAGTCTGGTGGTACCCCAGCATTGCAGAGTGGCAGATGGTACCTTTGGCTAAAGAGTCACTTATGGAAGTCTCTAAGTGTATGGAGCATGCTGCTATCTTTCATGAGAAAATATGAATTTCTACTGAACACTCAGAGTATTAAAATCTGTTCTAATTTAGTGTGTTGTTTTGACAGCAAGTAGTATCAGTTCTTTCCAAGGGAGAGGTTTTATTGGGAACAGTGATGGAACAAACTAACTGTAGGAGCATTTCTTCTATGGCCCTATGAGTCACTTCTGAAATAAAAGAATTATATCCCTTACACCAAGAAATAATTTTAATGGGTCTATGGGCAGTCTTAATCCATAAGCACATTTTAAAACACCATTATGCAGTAAAGGTGACATCAGAGAATAATACACTTGTGGACTCAGAATGAAAACTTTATAAAAAGCATCCAGCCACAACAGAGCACAACCACTCCAGCTCCCCAAGAAACTCCTGACTGTGCTTCCATCACCTTTGCAAGGAGCAGGAAGAGATTGATAAGCTTCGGTTTGGATACGTTACTAAATGCATCCTGGATAGCCCAGGTGCTGCATGCCATTACATCAGATTAGCAGGGGAATGTGCTTCAGCTGAGCCCAGATAAATGCCTACCCAGTGTGCCTCCATGTGTGTGGGACATCCCCATTTAGGATCCTTTAAGTCTGTGCTCATAATTGGAGTCCAAAATTCTTCAGGTTGTTTTTCTTCTCTTCCTGTGCGTGGTTGGGGGGATTTTGTGAGAGTGGAGAGGGCTTGGGTTATGTTTTATTTTTATTTTTACAGTGCTCTCTGATAAAAATACTTCTCGGGTGTCCAAGATCTTACCAGTTGTGAAGTTGTGATGTGGCATGAGAACAGTTGTTAGAGTATGTTTGGGAGCAGGGGGAGCAAAGCAGTTTTTATAGCATGCTAAAATGAATTCTGTCT